TATAAGCATTTTTTGTCAACTGAGTTGAACACAGAATTGCCTGATATATTGCATCTCATAGAATTATACTTGGCGTTGAAATCTGGAAACATCTTCCGAAGTACTAAACAACTGCTATTCAATGGTAATTCATCTTAAAAGGGAAGCATCCGAGCTGATATTTCTCCTCTGGATGATACAGATAGTTACTTATAGCATATGCTATACAACACAGCGAAGTACATTGAAGTATATTCTTCAGATCCACATCGTTATGGTGAACATTCGATTCCGTCTATCTCTGTAACCCCAACTACTGCATAATTGATACAGTTCAGCTCTTCGACAATTAAGAAGTTCTCTGCCATAATTACCCTCGGCTGAGACTATCTCCCAAGGATGGATTAAGCTCTGGTTGGAAGGAAGACAGATCTGGTTGATTTATCCAGCTAACTGAACCAAAGCACGGGACACAGCCTCGTTTACACACCCCAGACTGAAGGTATACTATACGTTCAACTTATGTCTATGGCAAGGGTAGTTATAAAGACTGAGCGATTAATCACTCAATGGAGTCATATTAGTTGCACAAGCTACATAAGTCCAGCTTGTATTGGAGTGTAGTGAGGTTCCCCGCACGTGCTCCGGACCTCGGCTGCGGAGAAGCAAAGCCGCTGTCTGGATCACCCAGCAATCCAAGTATCAACCATCGCGCTGCTGGCAGTGCTACAATTTGTCTCAACGCTGCTATTCTTGTCAGGACATATCTGAGTCATTCAATTCGGTGTACAAAATGCCCGCTCCTCTCGATGGACTCCGTGTGGTCGAGCTGGCTGGCCTAGCCCCCGGTTCGTCTACCATACCCCCTTCCTCGGAGACGCCTCTCCGCATACTGACATGACGTCTACGCAGGCCCCTTCACCGGACTACTACTTGCCGACTATGGAGCCTCCGTATTGCGAATCGACCGACCAAAAGCTAAGAGCGCCGACCAGTTGACTCGCAGGAAAACGTCCGCTACCATTGACCTCCGAGACCCTGCCTCCCACCGTGTGCTCCTCTCCGCCCTGAAGGACGCCGATGTCCTGATTGATCCATATCGTCCCGGCGTCTTGGAGCGGTTGGGCTTGTCGCCATCGGAGGTGCTTCTGAAACATAACCCCCGCTTGATTGTGGCTCGTTTGACGGGTTTCCGTCGCGATGGCAAATACAAGGATATGGCGGGTCACGACATCAACTACATTGCTGTGGCGGGGGTACTGTCTATGATAGGTCGGTCGGGAGAACGCCCTTACCCACCACTCAACCTCCTGGGCGATTTTGCTGGTGGAGGTGCCACATGCTTCTTGGGGATTCTGTTGGCATTGATCTCGCGCACGCACACCGGACGCGGCCAGGTCGTCGAGGCAAACATGGTCGACGGCTCTGCGTATTTGGCTGCAATGCCACGGTTGGGCAGACAAACGCCCTTCTGGGATGCGCCTCGCGGTCAGAATACGCTGGACGGAGGCAGCCCATTTTACGACACATACGAAACCAAGGACAAGGGAAAGTATTTCGCAGTGGGTGCGTTGGAGCCGCAGTTTTACGATGCCCTGTTGAAGGGGCTCGACTTGAACCCCGAAGAGCTTCCGCCGCGGGACAACAAGGACAACTGGCCTGCGCTGCGGACTGCCTTCGCTAAGCGGTTCAAAGAAAAGACCCGGGCGGAGTGGGAGGCCGTATTCGATGGTACAGATGCCTGCGCCACACCTGTGTTGGAACAAGATGAGCTCGAGGAAAGTGGCTATGAACAACGGCCCGTCGTCCATCTAGTGGAAACTCCCGGGCTCCCGATTCCGGCCGACGACGGAGGCTGGACCGGGGGTGGCCTGATACCTGGCACTGGGGGCGAAGAGACACTTAAAACATGGCTGGGGTGGAAGAAAGGCCGCGATTATGATGTCAGGCGCGATGGAGCGCTAGTGAAGCTACCGGACGGCAAAGCGAAGCTCTGATAGCAACGGTGGTACTGTATTTCGCGCAACGGTGTCGACGCGATACGAGGCATGTTCCAAAAATGCACGTTGAGTTTGATCAGGCCTTGGGTCGATGAGGCTTGGAGAGTGGCGTAAGGCTGAGCAGCTTGATGAACTGGCGAATAAGCAAGTAGCCGACGAGGGTCAACCGCACAACATTTGAACCTTAAGATATCCACCATGGTGTCATTGACGAGTAGATAGCTATGTTTGGGAAGATTGATCAACGGTAGATCCCGACAGTGGCACTTGGTTAGACACAAGTCAATACTAATAATGTCCAGTCATTTTACATTTCAACACTAGCGATGATAATGGCTTTGTTTCAGTTGAACCACGGACGAAGACCAGCGATGGGTGGAGGCTCATCCCGTCTGCACCTTGGGTAAATTGCTAATTTGCCAACGATGCGATGCACAAGCACCAGAGCCACCCGAGCCGGATTTGGTATACTGTTGTTGTGTTGTTAGTAAGATTAGGAAAAGGCCACCGGGCATTCCGTAGCGACATGCAGTTGATCTGATCCAACGTGCATAGCGACTAGTGTGCATGACAGCGTGGTCTCCATTCTCGCTGCGATTGGCATAAGCAACGGAGAAGAGCCGAGAGAAATTGCATGCCATGCCAGCACGAGCGAGGGAGAGACAGCGACGACGACGACGACGACGACGATGGCTAGCTGAACAATGGATCCCGGTTGGGGAAGGAGCGTTACAGCAGCGCCCGGATGTAACATGATTTTTCTTCTTTCTTTCTAGTAGGATTGCGGGGGGGCCGTAACAGTTCGGACTAGACGGGACTAGTTTAGTCTCGTGCAAGTGCGAAAGTTGCAACTTTTCTCGCGGTCATCGTCACGTCACTTTCCCTTTCCTTTTCCTTCCCCCCTTCGGCTACGCCGCGGAACTCGTCTCCGTTTTGGAAAGGTACCACCTCAGTTAAGTTACTAAAGTATCTAACTATCTAGCAAAGTACCCCCCTTCCCGGTATGGGAGGTTCCACCCTGTCTCCATCCCTGGTTCACAAGAGTACAAAGTAGTACTTTTTATGCAATACTAGTAAAGGGTTGCCTGGAGAAGTACCCGGCTGCGGTAATTTGTGAGCAAGAAAATCTCTCTTTTATGAACAAAGACTGCTTGAATACCTGGAAACAATACCCACTTTTACCAACTGTACCAACTGCAGAAGAAGAAGTACTTCCTGCGCTTACTAGTCTCTCCGGTAATAACTAGTAGTACTTGGTAAGTACCTGATCGAATGCAACCAACTGTAGTATAGAGTACTATCTACTACTTACCTACCCCCCTTCTCTCTCCTTCTCTCGCCTCCCTACCTCTCGGCCTAACCGGTCACTCCGATCCCCTCTGACCGTCTTCGGTTTGCCTTCCTGCGCCCGTTATACGTCAATGCATGACTACCTCAGTGAAACAATTCCTCTATCTTGTCCTTCCCCCATCTCCTCAGCCCCAAATGATCAGAAAGAATTGCAGTGCTGCCGGCCTTCCGGATGTTTCAGCAGTGGGGTAATAGACGTCATTAATTTGCTGCTGTCTGGGTTTTGGTACAATCCGGTTCCTTGTGGTAGTAAGGTACCGTATCATTGACCGACGGTATCTCCCGCGATTGCCTAGTGCGGTATCCATGGCCGGTATCGTCTTTGTATTAATGATACCTTCCTCACCCACGTGCGTGGTGTGGCGCAGTAAGATGATGTCTCCTGACGATCGTGTCTTACAGCTTATCGCACGCTAACAGGGTGTTGCTTTTGAGACATCGGAAGATAGACAGCGCAAATCAAAAGGAGAAATGGAGCTTCCCAAGCTCCCTTTGAGGTAGATTCGTAGCTCTCTGGGTCGATTGCCTGCATTTCCTTGTCTACAGGGCCCATCCATCCCTGGTGCATCTGTGGCTGTGCAGGTACTTTCCATTGTTTGCCTGGGGTTCCGTAAGGGGCGGTATCAATGGTACCTTGTACCGGAGGGTCGTATTCGGTACCACCCCGTCTGACGGTCACAACTGGGTTTTTCAGAACCAAAGTTCACGCTCCTCTTTCTTTTCTCTCATCTTCTTTTCCCGATCGATCGCCTCCAAAGTCCGTTGTTCAACCGTTCGTTCATTTTCCCTTCATTTCGCTCGTCTCCAGTCCTTTCAACCCCGCCTCTCTTTCTTTCCCTCTTTTCCATTGCTTTATCTATCTGGTCTGCCTCGATCGCCTTGTGATCAATTACTGTCAGAGATAACTCTTATCACAAGACAGAGACACTGAAAAAGTGACTGTGTGTGAGTGACTTGTGTGGTTGAATACCGGGCGTCAGCACTGTCTCCTACTACTACTCTTGCTGCTGCTGCTGCTGCTGCTACTTCCTTAGTACCTTCTGTTAAGCGTCGGTCTTGAAGTAGTGCCCGGTCACGGCTCTATCAATGTCCCCTGCAGGTGTGACTTGGTAATATTGGGTACCCGCCAACTGCCAGCCCTCGTGTGCATGAGTGACTGAGCGAGTCTGTTTGTCTTGCACTCTCTCAGCACCGCTACTCCAACACTACCACTGCCAGCGTCATCTTATTCACTCCCCTCTTCTCTCTCTCTCTCCCTACCAACTCAAGCGCCCGCCTCTTCTGAAGCGCTTGCAACCTCTTGGTAGAGGCCGTTTCTATTCTAGCGCCGATACCACATTCCCATTGTATCAGCTGGGTCGGTCCCTCTCCCTTTCTTCGCGCCTCGGATTCGGTTGCCTGTCCGGTACGACAACCCAGCCGCTGGCCGCTCATTGATCCCCCAAAACCACTCTCCCACACGATCTACGACTTTCCCTTTCCTGTCCAGACATCGCGGGGATCACTGGTCGACGCTTCACTACGATCTTGTTTCATCCATCTCTGTTGCTACCCCTGCAATCTCCGCCACCACCCGCAGTGGGAACCGTCACCACAGTTCCTCGTCTCCCCCCCCTCGTTTACCGATCGAGCTCTGCCTAGATGGCTGGTGTGCAGCTACAACAGCCCAGCATGACTGACTATCGACTCCCGATGCATCATCAGCCGCCGCCGGCTCGCAAACCAGTTGCCGGAATGCATTCCGGCTTTCCCTACCAGGCCTATGACGGGCCTCACCACCAGCAGCTTTCTCCCCATCCATCGGCCGCCTCCCTTGCGCACAACCGCCGGCGAACCTCTTCCTCCCATGTGTTACCCTACATGGCACAACAGCAGCAGGCATACTCTGCGGGACCCTCACCACATCATACGATGACCGGTCCACCCAATTACCCCCCTTCCAGGCGTTTATCGAGTGCGACCACATCTACGACCTCCACCGGCAATGTTAACTACGGCGGTAACCCACAGGCAGATATTCGCCGCAGCACTTCGTCCCGCTCCGCCAATGCTCAGCTGGGTTATGTGGCTCTGATGCGGAGACAAAAGGCAACAGTATGGTGTGACCGAGCACAACCCGAGGATCCTCGGATACGGGCGCAAAAGCTGGTCGATAAGAAGCGGGCGTACCTGGAAGTCCACGGCGCAGGCGCCGGGCGCACAGGTACCCTTGGAAGCGGCAAGAACAAGCACGGCGGCAAGGGAACCACTGATTTCTCCCCCTCGACGCTCGTCGGTGCTACTGTCCCGGTTCGGCTCAGTGCGAACGAGGTCGGTGATGCAGACGAGGATGCACACAGTGACCGAGGCTTCCCTTATCGCCGGACCGGTAGCGGTCGCAGTTCTCTGGGTAGCAATTCTCGCTATCCCAGTGGCTACCAACGTACTCCGCAGAGCACGATGGGGAGCACCAGTACGCCTCCTAATGAGAAGACCGACCTCCCTGATGTCTCCGAGCACCCACCAGCGGAAAGCCACGAAGCCGAGCAGGACCACGCCTCCATTAAGGATGATGCTGCTACTACAAACAGTTTCGGTAGTGAGCACGAAGAGTACTTTGGCACCGTGAGTGACATGGCCGCACCAAGTGCGGCTTCTGCGGCGATCGACAAGGCGAAGAAGGCGGATGAACTGCGGCGCCGAGGCAGTGTAGATGATCGAACGACGTCCATGACCAATGTCCGGCTTTTCGTGGCGAACCCCGATCTGAGTGACTAGACATACAGCTTGTTCATTGCTGGGCTTATTCCTCTTACATACACTGATATTCGGCACTGCATCGACTATGCAGTCCGTGTCGAATTCGAGCTCTACGCCTCTTTCCTTTCTTTTCCTGAACTCTCGTCCTGCAAACTCGGGCTTGGATCTCATGTCTGGTGCAATGATCCTGCTATGCCCTCCAGCCTTGATTTGCTTCACGATAACAAGATGCCCCTCAACTGATTGACTTGAACTTGTTCTATTCCCCTCACCGCATGTTATTGGCGCTTTTTGCTGTGCTATAAGGGTTGCGTGCTACTTGAACTCGCACCCCTTGCACCAAGTTGGCGTCCGATGGATTTATGAGCAAAGTAATAATAATACTATTGTACATATCACCACATTGATCGCAATAGCGAAGTAGACGGTGTTAGGAGAGCTGTTGTAAGTTTGCACGGACTCAGGCGGAGTCAGCGCATAGTGAACCAATGGACCAGTAGCTTCACACTCAGTACAGCTATCGAATAGACTCAACGTCAACATCTAATAGACAGATTCCTCCATGCAGAGCTCCAGCGGTATCGACAGACAAACCAAGGTGGGCTGATACATCTAGTTAGTAGTTGTGAACTAGGGGTTCTTACATAATCCACTACACGTGCGGGACGCGAAATCCCCAGTCGCGAACATCAATTAACAACGCGTTTCGGGCAACCTGGCAGGCTCACCAGACGCCAAGATTCCCTCTCCCACGCCTGGAATCTCCGCCTCGATTGTTGCCTGTCTATCTGTCTTGTCTTGTCTGTCTATCACTTTCCACGACCCCTAACCTAACTAACTAGCTCACGGTCCAGCCGGCCAGAAAGAGACCCATCAATCGATCGCTCTTCTGGATCACCGGCTTTCCTCACTTCACTCCTATTACTTTCCGCTCATTTTCCTCTCATGACCCTGACACCTACCTGGCTGGTTATCGGCCACTGATGTGAGCTTAAATCAACCCTTGCAAAGTACCCAGCACGAGCTTGTGCATGCGCGCGCACTCTGGGATATATTCACTAAAGTGATTAAGTTACGATGATAGACTGACCGAGTTGTGGATTGAGGAGGTTCATAGGTGCCATTTATTTTTATCGTTATCATACTCCTTTGCTTCATCACTCTTCTTGATACCCACCCACATACAGCCCTACGCTTCTCCCCTGGATGATTAGATTATCGTTTCATTGTCCATTGAGTCGACAATAAGGTCATTCACCGTCTTTTTCATCCTTATCGCGGCTCATTCCACCATACACCATCCCGGGAACGGAAAGTACCACCATGTCGACAGATACTGCTACCGCCACCGCTCCTCCTGATCCTGCTCCTGCATCTTCGCCACACTCGTCTGCTGGCTCGTCCTTGTCGTCACTATCATCTCCTCCATCAGATACGAATACCTACCCCGCGTCTATCTCTATGTCTGGGTCACCGGCGAGGAAACGCTCGATAGGGGATGTCGATGGGGATACGGCTGCTGCGAACGGGGGGGATGATACGAATGCGAACACAACTACGGATGTGGAGATGAAGGTTGATGGGGATGCTCGTGTCGATACAGATGATAACAAGGAGAATCGGGATACACAAGCGAAATCATGTGCTCCTGGGGACGAGAAGAAGACTACGGCTGTTGGAGATTCGACTGCCACTACGACCACAGCCCCGGCTGCGAAGAAGAGGAAGTTGTCGCCTGCCAGTAAGGAGGCAAAGCAACAGGAAAAGGAGGCTAAGGAGCGGCAGAAACTAGAGGAGAAAGCTAAGAAGGAGGAAGAGAAGGCCAGGAAGGAGGAAGAGAAGGCCAAGAAAGAGGAGGAAAAGAGGAAACGGGAGGCTGAGAAGGAAGAGGAGAAGCGGGTAAAAGAAGAAGAGAAGCGAGCTAAGGAAGAGGAGAAGAAGAAGCGCGAAGCGGAAAAGGAAGAGGAGCGCAAGAAGAAGGAAGAGAAACGGAAGGCGAAGGAGGAGGAAAAGGCTGCCAAAGAGGAAGAGAAGCGAAAGAAGGAGGAAGAGAAGTTGAAGAAAGAGGAAGAGAAGCTGAAGAAAGAAAGAGTGAGTCTAAACTTATTCCTGGCTGAAATGCAGAATTCAGGTATCTAACACGCAACAGGCGCAAATGAAGCTGAACTCCTTTTTCGCGAAACCGAAAACCCCGGCGCAACCATCCTCATCGAACACGACCCTCTCTCCTAGCAAAACTACTGGCGCTGGCGCTTCGAATGACCCCTCTCCTGACTCTGAATCTACTGTATCTGACTACCAGCGCGAGTTTCCGGAGTTCTTCCTCCAGTCACATACCACATTTGCGCCACCGCACAGGTTCCAGCGCGACAACGAAGCTCTGCAGCATACGCGGGAGAAAGTTGATGCCTACTTGAAAGATGCCAAGGATGGCAAGCATGAGCCTGTAACCTTTCGTCCTTCCGAGCTCTTTCAGCTCATGCCATACCAGCGGCGGCGTGGAAGATTGCCTGCTTCAGTCAAACAGATCCTCTTACAGATGCAGAACCTTGCTGATCAGTCGGAGACCTCCGAAGCTGCCCAGAGAGCTCGCGATCTTCTGAGGCAAGTGAGAATGAAATCACTGAAATTCAACGAGGATGTCCGGCCTCCATACCAGGGCACCTATAGCAAGAACCTGCCGGAGTCATCCGTCCGCCGGTTGATGCGCAATCCCTTTTGCCGCGGGCTGCCGGAGACGAACTATGACTACGACTCGGAAGCTGAGTGGGAAGAGCCTGAGGAAGGCGAGGATCTAGATTCAGAGGAAGAAGAGGAAGGGAGTGAAGACGGAGAGGATGACATGGATGGATTCCTGGACGACGAGGATGACCACCCGATTGATGGCAAGAGGCGTCACATTGTCGGGGACCTAGAACCCGTCAGCACTGGTATACGATGGCAGGAACATGGCGTGGACCCGGAGCTGCAGACGTACAAGATGGAGACCATTTCCGACTCGGTGACCTTCCCTATTGACCCGTTCTCCACAGCCTACTGGCAGAAACCGAAGGCCGCCGCGGAGCCAGCGCAGGCGGCTGGTCTGGGGCGCTCGACGCTCCATGCCTTCATGGGGCACCCATCCTCGTCATCCTCACACAAACAGACCGGGAGTGGGCCGGGAGCGGACGGGGGCACCCTGGCCGTTCTGACAGCTGGGAGGACAAAGCGAACGTTGCCGCCGGAGCAGCTGGAAGAGTTCAAGCAGGTGGTGAATGGCAGTGATCTGACCAAGATGGGGTTAATTGAAATCTTGAAGAAACGGTAAGACGTGGGCCCACAAAGCATGCTTGTTGATCGGAAGGCTAATCATCAGGGTCGCGCCGCCATAGGTTCCCCAAGGTCTCGAAAGACAGTCTGAAAGACACGCTGAACAGCGTGGCCACGCGGGTGGGACAGAAAGAGGCTGACAAAAAATGGGTCTGCAACTAGCCGTGGCCGGGGATTGGCAAGTTTGGCCCCCGGGAAGGACAACGCATAACCAGGGGACTGGTTACGGTTGTGTTTGGAGCACGGCGTTTAGAAGAAGAAATAATGAAAAGATCAGTCACAGACCGAGAGACTGGTCTTGTCGGCCAATTGAGTGGGTTGATTGGTTCCCCAATGGACGTGTTTACCCCTCCTTCTCTACATCTCCTGTCTCTCCTTTGATTTTTTTTCTTTTCTTTTCAGTTTTACGATTTACCCCGTCCATCCTTGCCTAGTGTTTCATTTGTCGACTATATACACAACGTCTGGCCATCCTGTCAACCGGACACTGACTCGGGTGAGTGGGTGGCTGGACTGGTCGGATAGTGTCGTTTGGCAAGGGGAGTTTGTGTTTTGATGAAACACGGAGAGAAGGGAATAAGAAGAAAGAGAAACACGACCAGACCAGGTTCCTACGGTGCATCTATACGGAAGTATATCCGTTTCGTCTCATGTCATCGCCTCCCATCACATCAGGGACCATGTGTCCGGGATATTCATCCCATACATCAGGAAGAAGGGAAAGGAGAAGGGGCTGGTGTGGTGTTTAGAGATGATGATCGGAGGGGCAGTAGCAAGTCAGAAAGGGAACTGCATATACGGCAGGGATCGCCAATCACAAATGTTCCTGAGCAAACTGTCGGGGCAAAGTGGAGCGGGGAATTATAGAGACCAAAGACAGCGACGGAAGAGCGAGAGAGGAAAGAGGAAAGAGAAAAAAGTATCTTAATAATAGATCGGGGAAAACGCAGTGCAGAGCGGTGCCAACACAACAAGCACACAGCCTGCGGGAAAGCCTCATTGACATGACATGACATGAACTGACCCAGACCTGACCACTGGGATTGGCATTTGGAACACTTCAGAACCCGGGTAGATGCGCCTCTCGCGGGGACCTACTTGCCTGCGTACATGCATACTACGTACATGGGCACTATACATCGTAGACTTTCTAGGGTAGATGAGTGGTGGTGGTGGTGGTGATGATGATGGCTGTTGTCGTAAGTCCAGCCTGGATGAATATCATGGATATGAAAGATATGGGAAGTGGGGTGGGTGGATGGGATAGAACAGCGTCTAGACCAGCTGCGCGACTGGGTTATGAGTGAGTGGATGCGCGTCCATTGTGTCTTTTTCCTCCAACTACGTACGAACTTGGATTGTATATACTAGTCGCCCGCTCTAGGAGGAAAGAGAGAGTCCAGACACTGGTAAGTGAGATCCATACATACATCCATCCATTCAATGACTGGATGAACATGGGAGCTGAAGCGGGCAACAGCAATCCGAGGCATGGAAGCTGAAAAAGGCGCTTACCCGCATCATGTAAATAAGATTGGAAATCAAAATAGAAAATGGTATTGAACAATTTATTTGGTTCGTTGAGAAATTGTTGATTGATGCACTGGGTACTGTAGTAGTGAGTGAATCATCATCCTCACCAGCTTCCATCTGCTGGGGGTTGGTCTAAGCCCCAATCGGGACTAGAGGGGGAACCCAGCTGGGCAAGTGGCAGATGAACACGTGCAGGTGGGGGGTTGCTGGTTGTCGCGCCCGATGGGGCTTAGTGCCGCGGAGCCACAAATCAACTTTGGGACGGGAGGGACCGTCAACTTATTCTCTTACTACATAGTTAGTCTTGTTTATGATGATGATGATGAGGAGGAGGAGGAGGAGGAGGAGGAGGAGGATTAT